ACATTCGATGAAGCTCAGGTTTATTTTTTTGTTTCTTTGTAAATAAATATTCCTTCTTTTTTTTTTCGTTATATTCCTATAGGATCACATCTTTAATCTAATGAATCGTGATACATATGCTCGATTTTTACGTTCAGAAACTTATAAAGAATTATTATTAGGTGGCAAGAAAAAAGTAAGTTTTCATATTTAAATATTAAAATATTTTTCAAATATTCATTAAAACACTGAGCCATTTCACGTTAGTTACTCCTGACCTTGCTCAACTGATAGTCACCGATCTAGTTTTTTTTCTTTAAAGTCACTCTCACCATAAAAAAATACCTTTTTTGTTTTGTGACTATCATGGATATATTTGTCTAGCTTGATTATATCTGATATTCGCGTATATTTAACACAAAAAAATGAATAAAGCGTTAATGAGTTGGTCAATACTATCTAGTAAAAGAAAAAATTGTCATTTATCGCTATTTTGTGCATATATACAGATTTCATGAGCGAATATAGGTCGTGTCACTCAAGATATCAATAGTGAAGTTTTAAACTACACAGTAAGTACTACTAAGTCGTGCAAGAATTGGTATGATATGTCATAAATTTTGTAGAGTCGTATCGAAAGAAAGCCTCACAATGACTCTTTTCTCATGCTTTAGATACTCAAATCATTCAGAACTTAACAGAAAACTTTCTACCTTTGAAAAAACTTGTTTTTTTCTTGTTATTCTCAAAAGAGTTATACATTTTAAATAATAGAGAATAAAATGTTGATTTATCTTGGACAAAAGAAGTTATGTGTAGAAATTTTTCTGTTAATTTCTGAACGATCCAAATATATTAAGCATGAAAAAGAAGTTCTTTTAGGTCTTCCTTCTAATAAGATTCCATATGATATTCTACCATATACCAGATCAATCTTTACCGAACTTTGTAGTACGTAATGTGTAGTTTAAAACCATAAACATTCAACTTCTATAGACAAGTTATTTTTTCTAGATCGATCACTCCGAAAAAAACACGCTTTTGACAAATGTTTCTTGAACGACAGGATCTATGTAGAAAGCTAAAATTTTTACTACAGTGAGTTTCAAACCTCAAATGTATCCATATTGAAAGTTTCAAGCCAAACAAATATATCTATAATGAGATACAGCTGTCGCAAAACATATATTTTTTATGGCAATAGTGACCTTGGAAAAATCTATACATCTCAAGAAGGAAAAAATATTTTTTTTCGAATAACTTGCATAGAAATTCATCAAACATTTGCTGCTATAACATACGAAAGAAAAAAAATAAATAACCAGATCGACAACTATCGATTGAGCAGGACCGGTCATAGCTTACACATGAAATGGTTCATATATGTAATAAATATGTCCATATACAAAACTAGTTTGGCAACAAAATTTGAATTCAATTATGGTATTAATAAATTTATCTGAATCACATGTGTGATTAGCAATGCATCTTTTTTTTTTTATACTTAATCTTCTTCTTCTGTGTTTGTTTGCTGTTGTTATTGTTTTTCTTTATTATTATTTTGTTTTTAGCTATCGAAAAAATACTGATAAAGAAAATCGAGCGAATGCACTTGTAATAAATTATTTCATACATATATATTTATATATATACATATTTAATCTACCATTTTATTCTCTGCCTGTCTAATCCTGTTTTTTTCCCTTGCATTTCATTGCACCAGGCTTCTTTTTTTTTATATTTATTTATTCATCAAAACAAAACTAACTGATAGATAATGACATTTGATGTTTATTGCCTTAAACCTTAATTTATTCTCATATATCACACACAAATATATATATATATATACTCTATTTTTATGCTTCGATTTCAAAAAAAAAGAAGAGATATGCTTGTAATTATTTTATTCAGCTAATACCATCGATACCTTGTGTTCTATTGTCTGCTTTTATTCAATTATCTCATTTTATTCTTTTTAAACATATTTTTTTTTTCTTTTATTAAATTTTTTGTTTTTTCTAATATAATAATGATAACAATATTTAATTATCTTTCGTACTTGATTGTTTTTTTTGGTCATATTTTAGGTTGGAATGAAACCAGGTCGACTTTCAATTGTTATACGAAATCCAGTGGAAAACTTATCAAGTAGTAGCAGTGCTCTTACCGGTGGAAATAACGAAAAATATTTATTAGGAACTAGTCCTCGTTAAAACAATAATAGTCGTCATATCTTTTTTTTTGTTTTTCTACTCCTCTTTTATTTCTAGTCAAAAATAACAGACAGTTATTACTTTGTCTTTTTTTTTCTTTCTTTCTTTCTTTCTCATCTCATGTTTATCTATGTTTTGTGTGCATAATTTGCTCTTATTGCATACCTTGTGCCTGTGTATTATTTTTCTTCTTAGTTGATTGTCATACATTTTAGTTCTTTAATCATCATCATCATTGATAAATAATGTATTTATATACTTGCCTAGTGATGCGCAAGGTAGATAACATAGCTACTTAATTTTATATATTAGATGAAACTATGTTTGATAAGGGACGATAGTTGTATATGATTTACTGTCCGTTAATTATTTCAAAGAAAAAAAAAACAAATAAATAAATAAATGTTACAATACTCAATGTATTGTGTAAACAAAAAAGAAAAAAAATTTTTAATAAATATATTACTAAAAATCAAAGAGAGAATGAGTGTTTAATTTTTTTGATAAATGTTGAAAATATCTAAAAGTATCAACTTTCAAGAATGGTAGAATATTAAAATGATCGTTATCATAATGTTGCTATAATGTTATTGTAGACTCAATAGAAGAGATACGAATACATGAAAAATAGTTCAAGGTCAATAAAAGAAAAAAAATGACTATGAAAAATTTGACAATGTAATCGAATAGCAATCTGCTGTTTGTAAACAAATAAAGTTCTTGTCTAGTAGTGAAACTCGCTGTAATCTTTTCTTATTATCAGTAGTAGTCGGAAGAATACATGTCATATCAACGACTAGTACTTCGATGAAAAGATTATTTAGCTTACGAGGGAAGTCTTCCAACTAATAAATTGCTTTAGAATCGAGTCCATACACAGTATGCAGTAACAAATGAGTTATGACGCTTTTATCAGATGCTGTACTTTTCTACATGAATGCCACATTTGTTCATATGAGAAATTCAAGAAAAAGAAAGATTTATTCTGTCTCGTTGTTCTGTAATTGATATAGCTTACATTTTTAATCCTGAATCTTTATGTTTGTTTGTATTATTTTATCCACCTCACGGATGTCATGTATTTTATTGTTCATTTTATTTCTACTGCAAAACATGCAATAAGGTTTATATTTTTTTTTTTTTGAAAAATTCTATTTCACACTTATTAAATATCACATCAATTTTTCGACAAAAATATAAATTTTTTTGTAGTATAGATTTTAATAAGCAAATAAGGATAAATATGAATGAGAAAAAAGAATCTGTTTAACTAATAGAATAGATTTCCCAACAGCACGTAACTCGTGTCAACACTTATATGTGAATAAAACAGTAGGAGAGAGAGAGAGAGTTAATTTAACATACATTCCCGTTCTTAATTATTCACTTGTTAGAGAAGAGAAATATATGTATCATTCATTGATATGGTCAACAATAAAAAAAAAAAAAGAAAGTACAAGAATAACTATATTAATTCTGATAAAGTTTTAAAATAAAGATCTGTAGAATTTATTGAATCTTTTTCAAAATTCTGAAAAGTTTCGATTCAACATAAAAATTTGATTTATCGTATCTTCTTTAAATTAAGCAAACGTTCTTAACTGCTGAATAGAATTCAACTTTACATTTTGAATATGAGAGTAGAAAAATTCAAAAAAAAAAAATTCTGATTTATATTTTTATTAGAATGATAAAATTTTACTGAATTTTTCAGAGAAAATATGTAATTCTCTTGAGATAATGTGAATCATTGACTTTCAAGTTTTGACTTGAATCTTCGCATGAATGGAGTTCTCAATGAGATTAGTGTTTATATTGGGTAAATTCTAACACTTCTAGTATTTTCTATTCTGAGATATTGAATATTCAAAACTCTCTCATGTGTATAGCTCTAGAAAGGAAATAGCAGAAAAACTAAAAATTACATAATCTGAAAAGTTTGAAGTCGAAAGTCTATTTTCCAGGTAATCTAAGAGGATCACTGATTTTTGTTGAAAGACTCATGTCGACAACGAACGTTCGCAAAAATCAAATCATTCTAGACATATCTATTACTCTTTAGCATTTATCAAATGAGTATCATTTTCGTGGAAAAGTGATTTGATGTCTGAAAAGATTTTCTTGCGAAATATACAAAATCTAGTTTCGATCTATGATGAGCATAGAATGCAAAACTTGTCTTCAAAATCAAGTTTTTAGAAATACAACTTGTATATAAATTCAATTGAATAAGCTTGTTTTTTAAGCAAACTATTGATTTAGCAAAAAAAAAAGCTTTTATTGAAATGTACAATGCATTCAAGATTCTAATTAAACGATAATTTTGTGTCACCTCTATTCTTATAATGATAATTGTTCTCTGATCACTGCTTTGATTGTATTCGATATGGCACGCGTTATTGTTTTGCTTTATAATTCACACCTACATTCAAACATTATATCAAATAAACAATAAACTTTTTTCTCGTTATTGCAAATAGACAAACTGATCCAAGATTTGTATTACTACAAAATAAAAGCAGTCGTTAATAACACATGTACATTGAAAAAGATGAGAATCTTTTGAGATTGAATTTCTTCGTTGAAATTTCAAAATATTGAATATTTTATCTGTCACCATTTAGCAATAAATTGTTAATGTTTACTTGATAAAGAGAGTCAACTTTCCCTTGACCAATTAGTGTTTATTTGTACAATCCCATCATTGTTATTCTTTTTTCTCTTTTCTTATTTACATATATAAATATCTACTCTATTTCACTTCATAATATCATTATATAAACGATAAGACAATAAAAAACAAAAATGAAAGACATCAATAGATCATCATCATTATTTCCAAGTATGGATTCATTTCAGTACTATATTCCATTGACATCAACACCAAAACGTTTAAATAAATCTCATTATTCACAACCATTATCATCAACTTTATCAATATCAAATAATTCTTTGAAAAAACTTGATTTATCAATATCAGCAATAACTTTAATTAAAAAACCGTCGTTACATTATAAAAAACGACATCGATGCTATCATCGACGAAGAAATCCTATACATTCATCAACAATTATTAAACATATTGAACTCAAAGATTTATTATATTCAACTCGAGCAATGAAAAAACAACAAGAATATAAACAACGTCATTATACAAAGAATGAAATGAAAATTTATCTTGTATAATTAACACTAATATTATTGATTTTATTATTATTTTTTTCTATATACATTTATCCCGTTATGTTTTTTTTTTTCGAATAAAGAACTTAAATTAAAATTCCTCATATTCTTAAAACCAGAAGATCTCCACAAGAAACTACAGAAGTTCACTAGGAGGTTTTTCGATTTGAAGGAAATCTGAAATACAATCAAATCTCAAATGAAATCATACTTTAGTCGTTGTATTTTCTTTTCTGTACATTCAAGTTTGTACGCTCTTTTTCATATGTGCATTAAATACACCGAAATCTAATACATATGTCAAATATGAATGTTGAATTCAGTTACTCAAAAACCCAAGAACAACTTTGCCCGTGTAACTGACCAACTATATCTGCGTTGCGGTATGAAGACACGTAGTGCTCGCCGAAGAACTGTGACCCATCATTGTCTCCGTTTACATAATAAAGTCTATTTTTATTTTATGCTTTGATGGTACTGACAAAGAACGTATAAAAAGGACGTACAGATTTCGACGTAAATCTAAATGAACCAAATGATGAGGGATTTTTTTTTGATTGTTTCCGATGGAAACGATAAACTGGATCGACTCACTTTTTTTCTCTTCGTCGAATCCTTATCGCTACGAGTCGCGATGAAGAGAAAACAGAAGACAGGCTCAGAAATAAAGAGATTTGATAATTCTAGTCCAATATTGATTAGAATCATTTTAGTTCTAAATATTTAGTAAATAACAACTGGATTATCAGAGTATCAATGCAAGGGGGAAACAGCGGACTTCAAGACTTCAAGCACAGAGACTTCAAATTTTCACAAGGCTTCGAAAAACTTCAAAAAGACTTCATGAGACTTCGCGAGACTTGAAAAGACTTCTGAGACTTCATGAGACTTCATGAGACTTCAAGACCGAAGTCTCCGCTGTTTCCTCCTCGTATCAATGGTAAATTTCCAAAACGTTTATGTAATTAATATCTTCATAGATAATCCATTAAGTTCAATAAAATTCTGTACTTCTTTGCTTAATTTAAATTTTACTCTTCTTTCATAGCTGCAACAGTTATTTGAATCTATTGAACTGTTTTAGAGGAAGTTCACAATTGAGTTTCCAACGATTTGTACTATAATATGAACGTTATAAAAAATTCTATGTTAATAAAATATTTTGATTCTTCTTACAATAAATTCTATCGTTGACGAAACCGTGGTTTTCACTTCATTTCTATATCTCAATGTCTGAATATTTATCTTCATACGTTTTGCTTAATTACAATAAAATTATTTTTAATCTTTATCAATTATATATCACATGTGATAGATTATATTTCATGTTTTTTTATTGCTATTAGATGAGATGAGATGCATTTTCTGCTAAATTTTGTTGAGGACTTTCATAACTCATCTATATCAAGTATTAACTCTTTTCCTACGGTTAACTTGCTGTACTAGATACAGCAAAATATCAGAAATGATGTCCACAGAATAAATTCAAAAGTTATCGCGCATCATTCTTTTGAACGATATACTTAAATTTCACAATGAAATACGATATACATATTTGGAACGTGTTTTTTTGTTAAAAATCACAAAATACGTCATATTTCGCTGTGAAATCCACATCTATTTTTTTTATATTACATGCACGATTAATTTTCAGTCTGTTCAGTAGATATTATTTATGTGACTTCTTTTAAATATTGAAAAACTACAGAGTACTACTGCCCATTTCAAAAAAAAAAGGCGGGTGCGTATTCTTTGAATAACTTTTGATAGGACTAAGATAGAAAGCTGCAGTTTTCACCGTTGGAAAGAGGCGATGAAAATACATCGATTTGTGTATTTCAGACTTTTTTATGACAAGTATTTGAAAGGTTTTCTCACGAATTTTTTTTAAAAAATCAACGATTTTAGACGTGGAATAAAATTGATTTTTTATTAAAGACTAAGAAAAAAAAGCGATTTTTTCGCTAAAAATCGACCGAAAACACACAGTAACATGTTGAAAACTCATGATAGGCTAAAGATAATAATGTCGGATTTATATAGCTGATACAACTTTCGTTAGTGATTCTAGTGCCCTCCTGAAAATTAAAAGTCCATAATATTGACATGATGTAACGTTTTGTCTTTTGAAAACTTGTCGAGGAACCCTGAAAATGCTTGTCAGAAAAAATCTGAAATATAAAAATCGATGCAATTTCATCGCCTCTTTCCAACGGTGAAAATCGCAGCTCTCTACCTTGTTTCTGTCAAAAGTTATTCAAAGAATACCTACCCGCCTTTTTTTTTGAAATGGGCAGTAGTTATTTCTATGCTCGAGTTATTTACGATAGAATCAGGTTCGTTGACTTTTTGAATCTATAGTAGTGTATCTTTTATTTAAGCCCCCCCCTCTTAGAAAAGTCAATTTTTCGAAAAAAACCCGATTTTCAGATTTATACATATTCTGATAGCCCTTGCAATGAACTACCAGAGATGTCCATCGCGGCTGAAACTCTGCCGCTGCCGCGCCGCGGCATTAGAAAAAAAAATCACCGTGCCGCGATGGTTTATAAAAAAAGTCACCGCGCCGCGATGAGTAATAAACTTGCCGATGCCGCGATGGTTTTCAAAAAAGTGTTTCGATTTTCACTGCTGCAACTGTATTGGACCAGAAATATTGGTACTAGCCCATCAGATTCATTCAGTCTCGGGATGTTTCATTTGTAAACAATGAAATTCTATTAAATTCATGCAGTTTTTCAATGTCCTCGAAAAAATGCTGCCGCTGCTGCGATGAGCTTTTAACAACTCTGCCGCTGCCGCGATGAGTTTTTAAGAAACCTGCCGCTGCCGCGCCGCCACCGCCACGGCGGCAGCGGCAGCGGCAGCGCCGCCATGGACATCTCTGTGAACCACAGCCTAGCATAATTTGTTTTGCCAAAACGTGTACATTGGTCTTTTTTTGTGGCGAATTTTTTTTCTGAAGATGTGTTATTGAGCCATAAAGGGTGTTTCATAATAACTGAGAATACAGTGTTAATCATATTTTTCATACTTTTGTTTGATCGCGAGAACTGAAATTTTGATGACATATATCACTAATCAAGATCTTTTAGTTCTGAAAGTTTCAGCTCTATAGCTATGACAAATGATAAAATATATCGATCCAAGTGAAATACATAAGTTTTCGCTCTCGATTCTTGCCTCATTTTTCAGCAAAAATCGAGTACGAAAACTTATGTATTGTATCATTAGTCATAGTTATAGAGATGAAACTTTCAGAACTAAAAGATCTTGATTAGTTATATATGTCATAAAAAATTTAGGTCTCTCGATCAAACAAAAGAATGAAAATATCATTAACGAAAAAGTTGATAAAAACATGTGTGACATGAAGTGATATCTATGTATAAGGAATCATGATCTCAATTTAGGCATGATATATACCTCTAACCATATTATGATATATCCACATACATGCCATCAATAAAGCTTGAGAAATAGTGCGAAAATATTAGGTAGATAAGCAGATATATATCGAATAGAGACACTTACTGCATCAAAAAACTTTGTTTTTCGTTTTCCTCAAAATCAATTTTTTCAAGCATACCATTTACGCGGACAAGGTTTTCTTCATAATGACTCAATATAGAAGTGATGAGTTTTTTTAATACATAGTAGACAGGTAGGGCTAGATCCTCCCAGAATCCGATTTTTGAATTCCTCTTTTAATGAAATAAAAACCATAGATATTTTATTTTTTAGTAGCAATTTTTTGGCCATGATTTCGTGAATTTAACGAAAAAGGGTTTTTAAAAAACAAACAAAGGAAAATTCAAAAATCGGGCCCTGGGAGGATCTAGCCCTAAGGGTACTCTACAACTTAAAAACCGTCCGGGCTTGGTAGCTCGTATCGTTATTGTGAAATCCTTGCCCACGTACACGGTACTTTTGACCAATAAATTGACTATAACTCATTAGTTTATTGGAGATTTGGGGGAGATATTTTAACCATAATCTCTCCTAGCCTAGACTAACATCCTCTGAAATTTTGGTTGAAATCGGATGAAAAATAATTAAGTTGGTTTCTGAGGGGAGAGAGGGCGGCCCCCCTTAACACAACAATTTTACTCTGTAAAGAGGTGACATTTGGTGCAGATCAATTATGAAATTTCAGCTATCTAATAGTAAAAATGGCATTTCAATAGTTCAAATTTTTCATGCAATTTTCACAAAGCTAGGTTATTTGTCTATTAGATATATGATTAATTTTTAGCGCCATTCTGTGTTTATGATGTGCAACAACGAAAAACTACATTTATCTCTTTCAGTTATATTTTGAGTGCAGCTTTCCTTATTTTTCTCATCATTTGAATATTGCAATATAATGATAACAATTAATATGTTTCGAATTTCAAGTATTTTATATTTTTTGGTTTTAATCCTTCGATTAAATGATGCTAAGCCTAGCGGCGAGAAATGTGAGTATTTGAGGTTCTTTTATAATTAAAAGAATTTCTATTGAAAATAGTTTTTCAAAAAAAAACCAAAGCTAATTTCTTTTTTTTTGCTTTTATTTAGACTATATGGATAAAATGTGTCGAAATGATTATTTTATTTTTGATGGTGATAAGATACCAGGTATTTCGCTACAATTAACAAGCAACAGTAAATATAAACCAAATTTTAATTGTACCGTGAAATTTCGTACAGCTCAACCAAGTCAACGATTGATTATTACAATAGAAATAATGGATATAACTGATTGTCCAGGTGACTCATTACGTATCTATGATGGTACAACATTACTTAATAAAGATTCTAAACAACAATGTGGTTCAGCTACTTCGTTTACTTTTACAGTATGGAATCTATTAAGAGTTATATTAACAAAAAAACAAGACTTTCGTATTGTTTAGAGTTCAACAACAAAAGTATCAATGATATTTATAAGTAATTCAGCTGTTGAATCATCTGGATTTCAAGCTGCTATTGCACTTCATTTTCCAAGTATGATTCTATTAGTATAACTGATTATTTGATGATTATTTTTGAATTTAGTGATTGCTTCATGTCCGCGAAGTCTTGGTCTTTTTCAATGTAAAAACAGAAATTGTATATCAAAACAACTTAAATGTGATGGACTAGATCATTGTGGTGATGGAACAGATGAACGGGTGTGCAGTATCTTTTCTGGTTAATATATTTCTTTTGTTTTGAGTCTATTTCTATAACTATTATAGTAATAAAAACATATTTTTATTTCTGTACTTAATTCTTTTTTCTGTTCATAATGAAAATAATAAGAAAATATAAATGATTTGATTCATAATTAACTATTCTTTTTATTTTTTTTTAAATAAATGATTAGAAAAAGGTCAACGAGTTGAGGATGAATATGTATTTTATTATTATTTTTTGTTTGGAAATCTTTGCATGAAAAAATCGAGTTTTTTTTCGATAGTTCAACATGGTCTATTTTCCTGAGAATACACTTGTCATACTAAATAACTGATAATTTTTTTCGTTTCATGCTGATTATAAAACTAATATGCTTACATGTATCATAAAAATCTGAGTCTATGAAATTAATTTGTAGTACTATTCAAACATGTTATCATCATAAAATGCATCCGATCGTTTAATGAGCGACAAGTGAGATTTGTCCCGGTCGGTGAGGTTTTTGCGCTGATATTTTTGTTTAGTGTCATAGTATATCTAACTTTTATATTCAATTGGAGTCGCCAGACACTGTACTTATAAAGTACAGCTTTTGTTTTCCAAAATATAACTTTATTGGAGAAAAAGAAATCGTTCAACTCTGGTTCAGAATCCTACAACATGAAGTTGCGCTAGTGATGCGAGTTTGTCTTATTTCTTATTTCTAAGAACTGTAATTTTTTGACGATTTCGGATCCCAGAAGAACGCCACAGATTTTCTTGAAAAAAATAAAATTAAGCAAACATTTTGAAATGAACCTTAATCAACTCAAATTTTTGTGTTGATTCCTGACCTACCATTTTAATCACAAAAAGGCCCAGTTTAGATGATGGAAACCTCGTATAACTTGCACAATTTGATGTTGTAGATGCCCTAAGTCAGAGTTGAACGATTTTATCATAATCTACTTGTCATGTTTCTTAATTTTAGTTTGATTAATTGATTCTAAATCCTTTTTCTGTTGAAGATTTACCACTGATTGAATTCTGTTTCTCTCTTGATCCTTATACTTTGGGTGACATGGTGATCTGGCACGAGAAGTTCAATGAAAATATTTTTGAACAAAAACCAGATATCTTTCACAAGTTGAGTATCTTAGCATTGTTTTTATTTTGTCTATGTTTCACCAATGTTCAGTTCGTAAAGTCTTAATCAGTAATGAAACTTTCAACGTATGCAAGTACCTGTGAAATTGTCAATAACCACAGACATCACCAACTCTGAAAAAGGATAGAGTTCGAAATTGATATTATTCACACATTGCTACTACGTCGTGCGTTTTTTGATTCAGCTGAAGGATAGCCTTCCTTTTAGATACAAACAACCATCATTACTTTTACTTTTACTTATACAAGGCCTTAGAGTGAAAAATCGGATGGTCCAGAAGACATAAATAGCTTTTTATGCGAAATTTTACTATTTCTGTGATGTTATTAATTTCCATCTAAGTTCATGTTGAAAGATATATACCGTAAAATTCTCTTCAAACATTCTATATAATGCTTTATTACAAAGTATGAGAAGAGAAAGCTACACGAAAAATATTCAAGGTCTCCGAAGCTATCAGCTTTCTAAAGCACGTGTAGCATTCTTTAACTTTTTGCTAAGCGGTGACAAAAGTATAAGCATATATGAAATTAAATTTTCTAATGCTATGACGAATGCAGATCTAGTCTTTATAAAAGAAGTGATGCGAAAAGTTGATTCTAGATGCAATAATATCATACATTTTTAATAAATTAGGAATCGATAATGAATTGACTTTGATTCGTTTTTATTGTAATCGATTCACTACCAATTGACAATCGATATAAGATTAATGATTTTAGTCATTTAAAATGAATCTTTTCTGACTTTTACATGAATTATTTTGTTACATGAAAGTGTGTCCGCAGTTTTTACAGGTAGGCATTGTAGCTGTCTCTTTAATGAAGTTACTTGCTTATTCAGAACGATGCCAATTTTCGCCGAGCGATTTTGACTAGAAATCGATCGTTCATTAAAGAAATCGTTTTCTAAGTGAACTGAAAACTATGCTTTTTTAATATTTCGGCTGACTAGAAGTACCTTTGAAAATGAACAGTCTTTGTTCTTCCCTTAGTTTCACATGCTCTCAATTACAAAGAAGCATGATACCTTTGCTTAATTGGAAAGCTGACAATTCTCATGGACTTTTCAATGTAGTCATGTAGATTGAATTGAGTGGCTAATAAGACTTTTTATGAAGATTACTACTTTTTTCTATGGTATTTATATCATGATATTGACGTGAAAAACATACACAGGCCTAGACAGGCAGGCCAGGCCAGGCCGAGGAAATCAGAGAACAGACAAAGGCAGGCTAGGAGAGGTGTAAGCTTGTCACAGGCAGGCCAGACCTTCAAAAAGTGGGCCTGTTTGGATCTCTGATACCTATTTTAACTTTGATTTTTAAAGTTAAAGTATTAAAGTATTCATACTTTAACTTTAAAAGTTAAAATCAGACTTAAAACTTTAACTACTTT